ACCGTCCGAAGGCCTGCCGCCGCCGGGCCCTCATCCGCCGCCTCACTCTGCCCCGCCCCCGGTTCCTCCATACAACGACGATCCACGACGACCACCGCACATGAGCTACGATAACGCGCCGCCGCAGATGCAGCCCCCCACGCCGGGGAGCTACAGGAGCAGCTACCCTCCTCCGATTCCTCCACAGCCTCCTCAGCATTACGAGCAGCCTCAGTATCCTCCTCAACAGCCCGCTCCCGAGAGCCTCTATATTTCATCATATGCCTCCACACAGAAGCGGAAGGCCACACGCGCGTCTCAGGTACGACGATGCCACAGGCCTCTTTTCTGTCAGGTCAGTTTGCGCTAACAACCAACCCAGGCTTGCGACAGCTGTAGGCAGTTGAAGGCGAAATGCGACGAAACCAAGCCCTGCAAGAGTTGTAGAGAAAAGGGAGTTGAATGCAAATACCGTGATCCCGTGCCAAAAGCGTTAGTATCTGGTGTGCGCATGTTACTGTTCGTTGCTAATCATCACCGCAGGATCGACAAGTCGCAGACCGACATTCTGGAGGCAATCGTAGATATGAAGGGCTCTCTCGAGAAAAAGATCGAAACGCTGTTTGATTCGTTCGAGCAAAGAATTGCACGCCTGGAGCATGCGCCCCAGTACAAGCAGGTCAAGCTTGAAGCCGATGCCTCGGCGACAACACCGTCTCCCCCGAGAAAACACCTATCGCCCCGAAGCCACCAGCAATCGGGACAGGAGCTTAACCATGACGAAGCCATGCCCATGGCTGTGGGAGATACGGACATCGCGTACCACGAGCAAGAAGACCGCATGGAAGCCGACGAGCCTGAGGACGAGTTGCCTCCGGGCCCGGCTGTGGCACCTGAAGCACCGTCGATTCCCATGAACCATACCACAACGAAAGGACATTTGCTACAGTGGCCCATGATTAAGGAAATGACCCGCAAGGCTCTGAAAGAAAATGGCGTCAAGTTCATTGAGGAATATCCTTGGGTTCGGGAAGAGAAGCGCGGTTTACTCCGCCTTTTCGGGCGCGGCGAGGGCAACGGTAACATTTTTGGATCGAGCAGCGCAAACCCCAGATCCGAGCACGATGCGTACACCGACACTGCCGACGATTACTTGGGAGAAGCAGTTGCCGCGCCTTCTCCAGGCGAGGCTTGGGGTCAGGTCGGCAGTCTCAGCCCGCCAAACTTGACGTACACTAGCAGCACGCTCACACCAGAGGGTCACCCTGACTACACTGAGGCCAAGGTTTGGGGTTATGTAAAATCCTTTGAGGAGAAGATCCTATCCATGCACCCGGTCATCATGCCAAGCGACCTTAGGCCCATCGTCAGACGATTCTTGGAGAATGTGGCCCAGGGCGAAAAGAGAGGGAAGCCACCACACCCGGGAACCGCAAAGTTCGCGGTGACACATGAACCGACCAACAAGCGAAAACGCTCCCCCAGTGGCGAAGAGCCTGAACCAGTTCAGCAACCTCGGAAGCTGGGCAGGCCTCACAGGACTATCGACGCTGCTATGGTCTTGGTCGTCCTGGCACTCGGAAAGGTCGCTCAGTGGACTGACAAGATCCCGGATCCCATCCCAGATCCGGCTAGTAATTCACACAACTCCCCGATGAACAGGAATGGTCATCCGTCTTCCCCTGGACCTGGCGGTCATGGCTCGCCTCCGGCGCATTCTATTCACTCCCAGTCTTCGGGCTTGCCGTCGCCAAAGGAGCAAAACAACGGGCTCCCGAGCCGGCGGCCGTCCGTGCAAGGCAATGGCGCAAAGCCTATGAACCAGTCTTTCAAGCGAAATTACGATGTTATTCCGGGTCTCGAGTATTTTGCTGTTGCAAGCGATATTCTGGGTCAGCACCGCTCCGGCTACACACTGAAGCACTGCCAGACTTTCCTATTGGCTGGTCTCTACTACGGACAACTCGGAAGGACATTGGAGAGTTACCGGTTCTATATTGATGCCGACGTTGCTCTGCACACCATCATGCGTCGGTATGTAGTAGACAGACTGTAAACGAGGATTCCTCAACTAACGAATGGTTTAGTGATCAGGAGCGCTTGAGGCTGGCCGCGGAAAACCCCCTTGGACACCCGCCATTGACCAGGCGTGAAAACATGATTGTCATTAACTTTTGGACTTGTCTCCAGCTGCAAAGGTATGTCAAGAAAAGACGGCGCAGTCTGCCAGTTTGCATCTCATGGGACTGACTGTGTTTGCCAGTGATATCATTGCCGAAATGCCGGTCTACCCGTCAAATCTAACTCGCTTCGAATACGCTGTGCCCTGGCCCTTGATGCATCAGTTCAGTGACATCGAGTTCCCGGAAGCGGTTTTGTCGAACTACATGGCACAATTGTACCTACGAAAGCGACTCAACGCGCTGCACAAACTACTCTTTGAGGGAATCGACACGGCCATGGACAAGATGCACTCTGCATTGGAAATATTGAGCGAGCTGCGAGCCATGGGATGGATCCAGGAGGGCCTCAGGTTTACCGAAGACCAACCCCCGGCAGGTACACTGATGGAGGCCAGACTACACGCCAAGTACTGGGGAGCTCAGGTCGTCATCTTCCAGCCATTCATCAAGCTGGTGCTTGATCTCTCGTGGAAGATGCAGCAGCGAACTGACGGAGCAACACCAAACTCTGATACTACCAGCGGCTTGGGCGTTTTCACTCAGGGCGACGCCGCTGCGTACATCGGACAAGGCGGCATCGACAACTACAAGGACGTCAACGACGATGTCATCAACTTTGCCGAGCAAGGCATCAATGCTCTCATCAAGAGTACCGAAGCTTTCCACAACGTGGATCATGACCGGCTTCACGTAACCAATATCTTTGGCACCGCCCATGCGTAAGTTGAGCTACTAGCTGCTAGTTGAACGGAACTAACCAATCTCACAGACAATGGGGAAACCTCTTGGTCCTGGCTGCGGCCTACCGGGATCCTATTCTTGGCAAATACATCAACCGCGGGCACCTGCAAGCTTTGTTCAAGCGAACGACGAAGATGTTGGGTATGCATGCTCACGTGAACAGCACGTTGTTGACGGACAAGAACATCCTTGAGAGCATTGAGAGGGACCTCTTCCGCCACGACGTGGAGGACCCGAGAATGACCACCAGCTTCTCAAGCGCGGCCAGCATGACGGGCCCGTCCGTCCCGCCACCAACAAGCCACCCGGAGACGAACCACCAGGGCCCAATGTCCATGGCATATGCCGTGGGACCCAGCCGCAGCGTGCATAACTCCCCCAATCAGGCATACCGTGTTCTGGACAGTCGCGCATCGAACCACGGCTACCAGCCACAATCGGCGCCAATGTAATCCGATAGACACGAAGACGACATGAGTGGGGTCCATATGGATCTCGTTCCCCAGCGCGTGGCCTTGCGAGACTGTGGAAAATGAATAGGGGACTTGAACTGGGAGGTGCCAGATAAAAACTGATGAAACGGGCTGAAGTCGCTTCCGATCAACCCACTACTTATACCCATCATCATCATCATCCATGGAACCGGCGTTTTGCGAATTCGATTCATTTCTCGAACCTACTTTACCGCCCGGGATCGTTACGAGACGACGAAGCAGAGCCCTGCTGGAGCCTCCTGCCTCGAAGGCGGCGAACTCGAGGGTCCGACCTTCGCCCGTACACGGTCATGCGAAAATCGTCGCCCAGCCCACCATGGGATACATACAACAGTGACCACATCTCAGGATATCACACCAGTAACAAAAAAGAAAAAGGGGAGGGGCCAACGGACAAACAGGGGGACTGGATAGCATTGGGGAGGGGAACTGGGGGGTTTTGAGGGACGGCAAAAGCTCTGCATCGTCGTTACTAGACGGCACCACACGCTTGGAGATCTGCGGGCTCCCGGTTTGGAAAAGGAAAAGGGGGACGGACGGGACCGGAGGACGAAGGATGCATAAAGACGGCTCACGAGTCGGGTTCGCGCCCCTCCTTTTTCTATTCTGGATTTATCTTTCATTTTCGCAAACTGTTTTGCCGTTTTTGCCCTTCCCCCGTTTGTCGTCAAGACCAGCAAATCCTCGAGTCTCCTCTTTTCGACACAGGAAACAACGGGCAACCATCTGTTTCGAAAATTTTGCACTTTTTTTCTGGTAACTAGCCGCATCATGCACTGCATCTCGGGAGAAACTGGGCTACGCGCGTGTTTATCTGTCTTCATGTTTCTCTGTTTCTCTCGCGCTCTCTCAAATCACATGTCGATCCGCGTTGGATCGACTTTGATGACACCTGTTGCTAGGTTTATTGTTTGGCTTCATCCGGGCGGGGGAAACTCATCATATCATTTATCATCATCATACCATCAAACTCATATCTCATATTCTGGGGTGTAGCGGAGGAGATACCAATGAGGCGGCAGAGCCTCCTTTTTTCCTCTTTTTATTTTCGTCATCTTTCTTTTTAGTAGTCGTTGCCAGTTGCTGTTTGTTGCTGTTGTTTATCTTGCAGTTGAAAGGGGCCGGTGGTGGATGTAAATGTGGCGGGGCCAAGACGAGAGTGTGTATGGGGGGCAGAGAAGGCAGAGGGAATGAGCTGTGTGTTGAGGTCTGAGACCAGACAGACGACGGCGGTTTAACGTGGGTTCGGGTGGAATATGTCGTCAGCGTTGCGCGCGGGCGGGAATAGTTGGATTTAGTTTGCGGCTCTGGGCTGCTGCCTGTTGTATGTGAGATGTTTTGAGTGCGGTATATATATACATATACACACATATAAAAGAAGTTCTTTGAAAAGCCTTGTGTTGTGTAGGATGATTTACGTCTACTGTGAGTTGTTTCTTCCGTGTCTAGAATTCTAGAATGAACTTTGTGCCTACGCTTGTGAATACACGCGATCAAGCTGATGAATAGCCCCTTTCCATCCCCCTTCCATACGCCATGCAAACGGAAAAGTCAGAATACCTAACGCCGTGATAATGATGGTCCTCCTGTCTCTCCCCTGCCCTTACCACAACACGACCGTGACACAGAGCCATCCATCCGGGTACGCCGCCTCCCTCATAAGGTCCTCAAGCGGCGCGGAGAAGGGCACAGGGCTGCCGTGCAGCACGACGTTAGCGAGCACGGGGTCGCGGCTGGATGGGAACAGCGTCGGAAGGTGGGCGCGGAGGGCCTGGCCGAGGGTCTGGCGGGTGTTGCCGCGGACGCCGCCGGGGACTGTGGGGGAGACGAGGGTCTGGAGGACCTTGAAGACGCCCGCTGCTGCTGGTTCTGCTTGCTGTGCTACTGCTGGTTGAGGTGAGGCGCCGCCGGAGGAGGAGGAGGAGGTCGGCCCCCCGGGTGGGGAGGAGGGGATGTAGACGCGCAGGGGGATGTGGCGGAGGGGCGTTGGGGCGTTGAGGAGGATTGCGTTGATCTTTTGGAAGGAGGCGTAGTCGTTGTCTTGGACTGCGTTCCAGAGGGTTGAGGTGTCTGCTTTTGAGAGGGACATTATGCGTTTTGCGTTGCCGTAGCGGACGAAGTCGGCCTTGCGGGGGTTGTGTGTGTTAGTTGGTTGGGCCGAGGCTTGGTGGTCTGGTCTGGGCTTGGGGGCGTGCGGGGGGGGGGTTAAGACATTTTGGTTTGAGACATGAGTTTCTGGATTTGGGTGTTTGGGAAGGGAGGAGGAGAGAGAGAGAGAGAGACAAGAGGTGGCGAGGAAAGTAAGCGAGGTTGGGGAAGAGAGACAGACGGTGGAAGAGGTGGAGGGGGGGCACGTGTGACGTGATGTGCCGGGTGGCTAACTCACTTCTTTGACGCAATTCAGGAAGGTGTCGCCAATGTCCCAGCTATCGCCGTCGCTGACGGTGAGGCGCCATGGGAGGGATGGCTGGTAGAGGTCGACGAGCAGGCCGAGGGGCAGGTTGCGGAGGAGGAGCTCTTCGTGGTGGAAGGCGGAGACCTGGGCACGGAAGAAGGCGGAGCAGCGGGGGACGAGGAGGGCGAGGTAGGAGAACCGCGGGAGGGAGGTTATCAGCGGGGTGTTTGGGTGCGAGGGGTGGGTGATGTGGAGGGGGACTTTGGCGTTCCAGAGGGTCTGGGGGATCGAGTCCATGGTGGGTTGCGTGAGGTTGATCGTTCGGATGTGTTGGTTTGATGATGTGGATGAGGTGAGGTTGAGATGAGAGATGGACTTGATGTGAGAGAGCGAGCGGTCATGAAGTCATCGTGGTTGTCGGCGTCGTCGTCGAGGGTTGACGAGAGGCGAGACAGGGTTCTCGCGCCACGGACCGGTCTGGGAGTCGGCGGAGACGGCGAGCAAGACCGGAGGAGAGGTGAGGCTCTACGACGTCGACGTCGGACGTGTGGTTGCGGAGTACGGTTGCGCCGGGGTAAGGCTGAGGTCTCGGTGCGGACGCGGAGGTGGGGCGGTCTCTTTTGCGGCCGAAACAAGCCCCGCCATCCGAACAGGTCACAGTGCACCGCTCACACTGCAGTGGACAGCGATGGATGACACCTTATGTAAGCCCCAGCTGGCCGTCTTTCCTTTTGCAGTTACCCGGGCTATCCCTCCCCCTCCCCTACATTGCCGCCTAAGGGGTGTGCATCCAGGCAGTCTGTAGGTACGGATACCATGGGCACGGCACACACCATCTCACCCCCCAGCTTGGAGCTCCAGCTGCCTAGAGCTCCCTGGAGCTTGCCTGAGCTTCAGCTTCAGCTTTCGCTTCCCGTCGGCCCTCAGCTCTCACTCCAACTCCAAGCGGCGGCCGGCGCTCTGAGGTTGTCTTCCTGGCAGCGGTTTGCACACGCTAAGAGAACCTGATAAAAGGGCCTGAGCGCTCTTTGGTGATTTGAGGAGTGGGAGGATTCTTCCATCACACCTCTGGCCCTGGAATCATATCTGATCCATGGGTTTATTGAACAGAGCTGAAGTCTAGCTTTGCGACGTTGGCTTTCACTTCGCCTGCTAACTGCTCTGCTTGGCTGGACTGGTCAGACACGGAATGAGACACCTTCATCCATGATTCTCTGTCTCGCTATCTCATTACCTAGGTCGTCGGTATCTGAACTTCCACGGCCACATATAAGCATCACCATCATCATCATCATCAACATAATCATCACGGCGTAATCACGGCGCCATGTTCGAGGCCACGCCCCCCCGCCCCGGTCAGCTGCATCACAGACGTCTCTGCCTCGCCAGCCGCCCGAGATTTATTAGATACACTCTCCGAAACGGTATCTCCGTCCCTCTCATCGTACACACCCGCACATTGCATTCCGCATCGCATCGAATATGGGTAAGAAAGGAAAACGAAGGCAGATAATGGTTCCATCTTCAACAATGCCGCCGGCGGCCCCTTCAACGACCACCACCCCCTCCCCTCCCCTAATCGGCGGCCCGCGGATCGGCCCCCTCTCGGGGAGAAAGGAGATCAGGCAGGATGAAGATGAGGCGGGCGAGGACCGCAAATCGCTTCTCGCGGTGTGCCATCGTTTTTTCCCCCTTCCTTGTTCCCCGTATCAAGGGGTGCTGGGAAAACGCTTCCCGCATCACGCATGCCAAAGTGCGAGCGAAGATAGATGTCGTGGCCATGGAGACGCACATGACCCGGCCGATCACTTACTTCCCCCCCCCTCGCTTCGCCTGCCAACCACCATACGTAGAAAAGAACCGTTCAAATCATCCAACCAGGCTGACATGCGGCCCCCGTTCGTCGTCACGGTGGGAGAGAGACTTCTGGCATTTCTTATTTGTCCGTAATCATTGCTCTGCGGGAGTGAGCACCGGTGGCCATCGTGCTTGCCCACAAATATCCCGGGCAAACATCATACACTAACACACGCTGACTTATTGCACACACCCACGCCGCACGCACGCACACCCGCCTCTCACGTCGCACAGCGCATACAGCACAAACACACACACACACACACACACACACACACACACACACACTCAATAATCCCCTCTGCCGATGCAACGCGAGAGAGGAGGGCCAAGAGGGTACACCGCAGCTTTTTTGCGCGAGAGACATGGAAGCAAAAGCAGGAGGGATATGGAGAAGGAAAAAGCAAGAAGACAGACCGCGTGCGCACCCACGCCGTGGGCTCCTCCGAGACAACCCTCTGTAGTTGGTTACACGAGAAACGCCAGATACACACCCTCTCCGACTCAGCCAACCAACACCTCTCAAGCACGAACAATCTCCGCCATTGCTTTGGTGAGATTGTGAGGTAGGTAGGCAAAAAAGCTCCGCTTCGTCTTTTTGTCGGAGGTTGCTGAGACACGAACAGCTGTGCTATGTTTGCTTTTTCCTTTGCGCGCATGCGTTTTTACTTGCTTTCTTTTTTCAATCCCGCCTTTTTGCTTTCCCCAGTCTTGGACTCGGAGGTTCTCAAGGTCGTCCCCATCCCGCCCTCGTCCCCCATATGCGCCGTTCCCGTCGATACATTACTGTCCATCAGTACGGGGGCGGGATGGACGCCTTGGACGAGCTGTCTGCTTCTCCGTCTCTCCACTCTCTGCCGAACCGATCCAACCACGCAAAGAGCTCACGCACGAGGCCGCCTTTGGGGTGTGTGCCGTATGGGTGTTGATGTACTGTACAGATTCGGCCAAGGATGCAAGCCCTCTGCGCAGGCGCAAGAGAGACAGGCGGCGGCCGGACAGCCAGGAAGAGCAAAAAGAGACTCGACTGCAGTATCTCACATCCCATCTTACCATCTCGGCGGTCAAGCGACGTCTGGCCATGCCGCGCCCGGCCTCGCCTGGCTGTGGTCTGAGGAGTGGGCATCAAATTCCCTTTTTTTTCTGCGGTCGCCTGAACCTGCAACAAGCCCACGCAGCAACCGAAAGGGGGATGGGGGATGGGGGATGGGGGGGAGGCTCAAAAATGCGATGAAAAATAACAGAAAAAACAGACATCTCTCATCTCACATTTGCGTCCCGCGATGAGAATGCCATATCGATGCCTCTCGACCGTCTTAGCGCGGTTGAGTAATCGGCAATCGGGGACGCGCTATCAGATTTTCCTCAGATTGAACCCCTGCCGCCCGCCCTCACGGAGTACCTACCTAGTGTACCATGTAACGCACGACGGGCACGACGCTTCGCTCGAGGCCCGAAAGATGGGGACTCGTCGCGACGTGTAAGAACTTGTTTGCTTTTTCCTGTACAGCGAATGGTATCGTCTGGGCGCTGCTGCTGCTGATGGTGGATATATCTGGCATGTCAGGTCCTCCGCCTCCTCATCATCATCAGTCATCATCATCACGCCTCCCCCAGTCTCTGCAGCGCCTGCGTGCCGTCTGTCTGTCCTGTCCTGTCGTGCTCATCCTCACACCCCTCCCCATCCATCCTCTGATCACTTCTCACACTCGACAGAATCACTCAAACGAGATGGCCTGCGCAAGCACCTACAGCAGCACCGCAGCACGCGCTGCAACGCTCTCACTCAACTCACCCTTTCTTTGGTGCCGTGTTTCCCTGCCCTGCCTGCGTTCCGTCCTCTCCTTGCTTTGCCGTGCCATCCCCCAAAGTACCTCTCAAGTCGAGTGACTTGTCCGCAACTTTGTGCGACTTTGCTGCGCAACGAGCCCCCCCCCAACTCTTGTTCTGGTTCGCAAGCCCCCCGTCCCCGTCCGTCTGGGGGCGGCGGCCATTGCATGCATGCATGGTGCCCAGGGCCGATTCACTGGATGAGAAAAACAAATAATAAAATGCTGCTGTTAAATTTTTTTTTATCGGTCTCTTAAGAAGAAGAACATGCCCCTGCCAATGAAGCTCCCGTCCTGCACACACGCCCTCGTGATGGTGATGGCGAAAACCCCCCCTTGCCATTTCACACGCTTTTGATCACTTTCCCATCACAATCCGTCACTCCCAGTATGCCGTCCCACGATGGCCGCAAAAGGCCGGAAACCTGAAAATCGCGAAAACCTGTCAAATTCCCCCATCTGGGCCCTGAATCCAAACCATTGACCGCCAGGCACACGCACACCTTCGTCTCCAGGGGCTGATCCCCCCCTCCCCCCCCCCTTCGGTCCTCAATCTGGTCTAGGCTTTTCCAGCACAGCACACCAACAGCCATGACACCGTCCTTCCCGCGCCCTGCGTCCCTGAAGCTTCTCCCCCAGCACTTCAACCCCCATACCGTCCCTGTCCCCGTCACCGATCCCGGTCAGAATCACACTTTACAGAGGAAGGGTCCCCTATATCATCAAGACGCCAGGGCCTCCTCCCGGGGTTTCTATGTGTGTGTGTCTATGTGTGTGCCAACCTGCCTGCCTATCTACCTACCTAGCCGTAAGCAGGTCACCAGGCCTGGCAGACAGGCAAGCCACCCACTAAAACCCTTCCCGACGCAAACGCCATCGCTATCCGCTACCGCCTACCCGTCCACACAAATCCCGGCCGTAGGGGTCGCGGGAGAGGGGACCTAAGGGAGAGCGAGACGGGCTCAAGACGATCCCATGGCACCGGGTCGCCGCCAGCTCTTGCGCGCCCAGGGCCCAGAACAAAAAGGATCTTCCTCTTCCGTCCTGGCTGGTGGATTTTAATTTCAGAACGCCACAACGCCCTGCCTTCCGCTACTGCTTTAACAATCTTGTTGTTGCCCAGACGAAGGTTTCCTTTCCCAGCTGGAAGAAACACTCGCATCGCCCACGCGGGACCTAAAAAGGGCCGACGCATAGGGGGCCGCACATCCGTATACTAGCGCCGCATGCTGGGCTAGCTTGGCTATCTGTGCCTTGCTTACCGCACAGTATGAAGCTGCCGCTGAGCGCTTCTAGTAACCCAGCTCTGCCTACCCGCCCGCACGTGTCTGGATGCTTTCCTTGCCTGCCGTTGCGTTGCTTGCGAGCAGAGTCAGGCCAAGGTGAGTTACCATATTAGTTAGTCAGTTAGTTCGGCATGTCTCAGCCAATCCAACCCAGAATATTCCAGTCCCGCCAGCTTTGCTGCCTGGCTACAACTACCAACGTCGCCATCACGCTTCTTCTGGCCACACGGGATACGGAAGTAAGCTAGGTAGATAGCTAATTACTCGCTGAAATCATAGCAGCGCCGGCGACGTCGGCATGTTCACTTAACAAACAGCCAAGTGCTACCCGCCCCTGGCCGTCACCCACGGCATACCACGCGGCTCCCAAGCGGCATATACAGGGTCGCGGACAAGCTCAGTGATGGCGAGCCTCTTGCCCTGTGGGTGTGGAGGGCGTTTGCAGCCCAAGGTAGACAAGTGCTTCATGCCACTGGAGAGCTTAACATCCAACAAGTAGGGAACTGTTGAGCACTGGCCGAGCACAAAGTCAGTCGACCAAGGCAAGGCAAGGCTTCCCGCAGGCGAGGAGCGGTAAAGGAGGAGGAGGAGGAGGGATGGCAAGCGTGCTATGCCATGCCACCCCGGCCCGCCGAGCGGGATTGCGGGATCGCGGACGGCGCGATTCCCATCCCGCCAAGTCCTCTCCCACCATCGATCACATTTTCTAGAGGTTGGTGCCGTGCGGACTCGGCAACGTCAAAAATAAATAAAAACGGCCTGACACCACCACCACACTTATTTGCGTTTGCCCTTGCCGAAACCCCTGCAAAATACAGTATTTTCAGGTCTTCTCACTCGCCTTTTTTAACCTTAATTAGTGCCTTTTTTCGCAATTTTCGTAGTATATAAAGTATACGCTTAAATAAAAAAAGATACTACTAATATTAATAGATTTAAAGTAATTAAATAGCATTTTTTTCTATTTACGTTTATTAACTTTTCATGTTTAGTCTTTTTTAAAGTAATTATTTAGCTAAATATAGCTAAAAATCGTCTAATTTTATAAACTTTATAAAAGTAAGATATTTTAACTTAATTATTTTAATAAAAAGAATAAAAAATAAAAAATTAATATACTTAAATAAAAAGTATACTAATTAATAACCCTAATTCTATTAGTTTTTATAGTATCTTTTTTATCTAGGCGTATACCTCACGTACTACGTTATTCGTATTAGAAGTAAGCAAAAACGCGTTTTACCCCCTAAAAGCTATATGAGAAAAAGGGCGTGTGAGGGCCTACTTGCAGAGGTTTCGGCAACGGCAAACGCAAATGAGTGCACCACCCCTGTTCCCGTTACCTTTCCATTGAACTTAGCCTGTTTGTGTCTTTTGACGTTTTTGACAAGTACGCAAGCTGGAAACATCGTTCGACTCATGGCCCTGGGGTTTTGTCAAACTTGGCAAGGCGGGGGTATTTTGTCGTTTGTAGGTGTGGTGGTGGTAGTTTACCGTGTTGCAGGTGAGTTGAGCCCTGTAAACCGTTGATTCCTGCTTTCCGGCCGCCACCGCCCCTGATGACTTGCATTGGAACGGGCTGCGAGTGTGGTATGTGGTTAATATGAAAGTGATTTTTGCCACTCGATTTATGAGCGGGATCTGGCTGGGGATTAAGTTGTATATCCAGCTCGGAGGCACGATCTATAGGGGGGGGTTGTGTTCGTTGTGGTGTGCCTACTGTGTTCCACTTCGTGAGTTGTTGCTGGTCATGTTGAACGGAGGATAACCCCCAGAACTGGACGGTGTGCACACACAATTGTAAAAAAGCCATGGGCAACTTAATTCAACTCGACTAACAGACAAGATGACACTTTCAATGACCATTCACGCATGTTAGTGATACCACACCTCACCCTTCGATTAAGGTATTGTCATCTTTCCATTGTATGGGTGGTGGGCATTGTCCATTGGTGTTGACATTCAGTTCTGTCTGTCTTCACATGTCACATTCATGTAAGTCATAATGAAAGATCAAAGTGTGGTAATGCTAATAGTCATTAGGTCATTTAGGCTAGAGTACAAGTCTTGCTGGTATCAAATCCATCATCCATGCGCATTAAGAAGAATTCCGAATTCACAGGCCACGGTGCAGGTCCTGAGCGGACACCTTGCTGTTGCGTCTTGCGCGGTTGTGGCCGTGATCGTCGTGTGCGATCTGAGGCTCGCCAATGTGCTTCGCCAAAACAGAGGGAGGGACCTGAGCGGCATCCGTAGGGTCCTTTGCAGCACCAGTAGTGTTTCTGGTGTAGCAAGTTAGTCTTCTGTTTCGGTCGTCGCGCATGCTGGCGTTTGATCGCTTTCGGACGGGTATCGCTTACGACTGGGCGTAGGTCTTGTTGCCGCCGACGGTCTTGCTGCCGTCGAGGTCAGAGTCGACGCGGGGGTCGGCCTTGTTCAAAGCATCAGACTTGTGGGGTCCGGCGGTGTTGGGTGCGGGGCCGGTGCCATGAACTCCACCAACAGCGGCGCCGGTGTGGCCGACAGCGGAGTGGGTGGTGGAGGTGCCGTGGGTGTTATGGCTGCCGGTAAGACCGGAGGAGCCGTGAGTGCCGGTGGTGCCAGTAGTACCGTGGGTACCGGTCAAGCCGGAGCCGGGAGCACCACGGTGATCGCGGTCAGAGTCAACGCGGGGGTCGGCCTGGTTGCCAACACGGCTGCCATGAGGGCCGTGAGTGCCGGAAGGGTCGTCGTAGCCGGTGGTGGTGTTGTGAGTGCCAGTGAGGCCAGAGGTACCGGTGGTACCGTGGGTACCGGTCAGACCCGAGGTGCCGTGGGTACCAGTGGTGCCGTGGGTACCAGTGGTGCCGTGAGTACCGGTCAGACCCGAAGTGCCGTGGGTACCAGTGGTGCCGTGAGTGCCAGTCAGACCGGAGCCAGTGGTGCCGCGGTGGTCACGGTCGGAGTCAACGCGGGGGTCGACCTGGTTGCCAATACGGCTGCCATGAGGGCCGTGGGTGCCGGAAGGGTCATCGTAGCCGGTAGTGGTGTTGTGAGTGCCGGTCAAACCGGAGGTGCCGGTGTGGGTGCCGGTGGTGTTGTGGGAGCCAGTCAGGCCAGAGGTGCCGGTGGTGCCGGTGTGAGTGCCAGTGGTGCCGTGGGTGCCAGTCAGGCCGCCGGTGGTACCGGCAGTGTGGGCGTTGTTGGCGCCGCCGGTGTAGCCGGCAGGGTTGGCGCGGTGGTCACGGTCGGAGTCGACTCTGGGGTCGGTGGCGTTGGCAGCCTTGGAGCTGTGGGGTCCGGAGGTGCCCTCAGGCTGCTCGTGGGACTTCTCGGAGTGGAGAGCCTCCTTGACCTTGTTGACGATGGAAGACATGGTGGATGGTTTCGCGATTGGGGTATCAAGAAAAGACTTCTAAGTTGTTTGAATAGGAAAAGGGTTCTTGTGGTTGTTTGTTGTGAAGGTGGTTGTGGTTTGGGTATCTTGGTTTGTGATGATGAGAGAAGAGAAAACCGGGTGAGGGTGGGAGGTTGAGGAGGTTATATAGAACTGGAGGCTATGTCGAGAGAAGGCGCCATCTGCCTCCTGCCTCCTGCCTCTCCCGTGGGAGATCAGGACAGGAAGGGTCGATCGCGATCCAGGCTTGCCGTATGAGGTGGCTGCCGCAGTCAACGGAGGGCAGGAGGGAGTTGCTGCCCACCTTACCTCACGCTGTGACTTGCAACAACCAAGGAAGCTGCACTACCGTGCCTGCGTGCTTGCTGTACCAAACGCCAACGCCATTGCCAGCACCAGCGCCAACCAATACCGACAGGCGCCCGAATGCTTGTTGGAGACAGAAGACACGCCTGCGCTCTTACTTCATACATCGTCATAGGTCTTGGGCGCAGCTGTCTCATCGGGATACAAGCTTCATCTGTCAACCACTCGGGACAGGGAGCTGATACGCCGGTGCGTCTCCTCCGGCAGAGACCGGGGCCCCTGGCCAATTGGGGGGCGGCGATGGCCCAGGCCCAGCCTGCCACGGCTGGATGACGACCGGGGGGGAAGCACCTTGGGGAGTTGGCTTGCTTGCGTGACACTGGCGCTTGTTTCCGTCAAGCCTCGTCGATGTGATGGGGCGGCCCATTGCCTTGTCGGGGCTTGCAAGGGCTTGGGGGCGAACAGGCGTGGCATTCAGAGTTCTCGATCTGGCTCAGAGACCCTACAAACACGTAAGAAACCAAGGGATTTTCGTCATGAGCGGGAGCAACGGCGGGGTCACGGTGGTTGAAGAGGAGCGAAGATCTGTGGCTAGTGACGTTTGGGGCTGTGGAAGGAGTGAAAACTGAATGCGGATGGCAAAGTCCATACTCCATATCCATGCAGCGTTGCTAGACCTGGACACCTTGCCTCCGATCAGGTACGCTACCCACACGTGGAGGGGAGGGGAAAGGGAAGCTCTGAGCCACACTACCTTAGGTCCTTCAGCTTCGGTACGTTTCCTCGTTCAAGTGCTTGAGTTGGTTGACAGACTACCCGCTGATGGCATGTTCGAACGGTACAAAGTCTCAAAAACCAAGCTCCAGAGCTGCCCTCCAGAAAACCGAACAAATAGCGTACCGTCGCCGCGCGTCGTGTCTCACCGGTCTAGCACGGGCTAAAAGGGTACGAGCTGCAAGACATCGGGGTCGCTGGGTAAATGCGGATCAAACGCAATTCACGGGGCGCGGTTGTACGAGCAGGCACAGAAAAGAAGTGCTCTGGTGCTGGGGCTGAGGTTTGACGTTCCCGAGAAGGTGAGAACCAAGGCAGCGGAAACTTGAAAGACACTGGACAGAGCTCCCAAGGTCATCCCCGCCAATGACGCAGCGCGGACGCATGGCTGATCCGCCCCTCCTGTGGCGTAAGCTCCCCCCTTGTCGCGCTAGTCTGCCAGTGAGGCGGGGCTTGAGTGGCTGGTGACGCATCAGCGCCAATGACGGGAGATTGTGATGTGGCTAGTGCGTGTCTCCTTCAACCTCTCAGGGCTCGACTGTGGCGTCACCTACCCCACACGATGCGGTCATCGACCTCTCAGCTGTGCATATCGTGGCGCCAGCTCCCCTCAGCAACGCGGTATTGCGGGGCATTACGCCATGCGGCTCTCATCAGACAACACAGTCCGTCCCTTCCCATCCCATCCTGTTTCCGCCGCCAAGGTATCCTCCCACCCATCTCGTCAGCCAAGATACCTCCCTCTCTGTCACTCTGTTCATCTTTCACGTTCTGTGGCTCCGGACTGAACTCCAGTTTGCCTGAACATCCCGGAACGCTGAAGGCGAACCCTTATGTTCATCCCTCCTCTGATTCCCGGAAATAGCCACACACGATCGCCCAGAATTGGGTCATTGTGAACAGAATTTTGCGCAATTCCCATCCCTAGCTCGCTGTTACTTTGCTTCACACAGCCCGCCGTGCCTTACATCAACTCATGTCTCAGTACCCCTCTCGTTTCCCTCCTGCAAATTCCTACCCCGCCTTCTTTCTCCCTCCCAAAAAAAGGCGTTGCTGCGTGACCTGTTTGTAGAGCCGGGCCCTCTTTGCCGCCAAGCTAAAATAATGCAAGCCAGCCGCCGTTTTCCGCATGTCGTCGCACGTTTTCACAGGAAGCGGTCTCACCACAAAACCTGGCTTTTCTTGCTCCTGGCACCTAGTCCGAGCTCAGGGAAGAGCTAGGGAAGGACGGTAAGCTCGAAGCGGTCTGGTACCTTGGGGCCCTCTAGCAGCCGCAGGACCGGCGCTTCTACAGACCCATGGACCGCGGATCGTAGAATTCTGTACAGATCTCAACTCCACAGAGAGGCCGTGTACACACAAGAGGGGCCTTCTCGGTTTCTGAGGCCTGCTTGTGGGTTTTCGCGGGATGGGATACGTAATTTCGACTGCAAATGGCACAACGCTGAGAACGGCTAAGGCCAGTGAGCGCAGCCCCCCGCTTGACCGCTTAATCTCCTCGAAGCGGGCTAGTCGTCTCGGAGGGGGCCACAGGTAACAATATGGGGAAACCTGTTTGACAGCGAGACAAGCGTCCGAGGCATTTCTCGGGGCCTACGTTCTGGATCGGTCGAAATATTGCAGCCGTGGCCGAAAGCCAGTCACGAGAGCGATGCTGATCGGAGATCTGAGCTTGGAGGGTTTTTTTTTTTTTTTTTTTTTAATTTTCGTTTCGGTCGCGGAGACGGGGGCTGTTTTCGGAACGGCGTGGCGGCTGCCGATATGAGGCGGTCAGCGAGGGAAACCATGCAACCGAGGCATTGTTGTTGCTCACTCTCCGCTTGAGGCGATTGCTCGTGCAGGTACAGTTCTTGGCAGGCAGTGTGTTTGAGTAGGCGGTCGAGCTGGCTAATTTGCGCGGTTGTACGGGAGATCGATCCTCTTCATGTCGCTTGCTGCCGCTCCGAGAGATGTCGGGATTTCTGTTTTCGCCTTCAAAAAGAAGCTTCGACGGGGCGGGAGATTGGTGAATGTTAACGCATACGTCATTTCTATTCTGGCGAGTAGTGGCGACTGCTCAGGTACGGTATTGCGGGTTCGATGTTTCACTGTTGCGGCGCAATACTGAGCACGTCGGGTGCCGAATTACCCATTGGCGTGAAGACGGTCTCGATCCGAACTGCTCAAGATCTAGACAACGCAAGATCGACACTTCCGAATGACCTGATGTTTTGCGTCAGTTTCTTCATGACGGGTCTAAAATGTAACACCATTATATGCTGGTGAATGAGGTGATGCCAGTTAATGCGTTGGTTCAGCCGCCCGAAAAAGGCGCCAAGACATACAAATTGGTTTGAATTGGAGGATCACTAAGACCGGCTGAAGGAGTTTCTAGCCTTGATAAGAGAAACATACTACCTACGACTCTTCTTTTCATCTCATCACCAACGGGAGATGATGGGAGACGATGGGCAGCTACTTGACGCAACCTCTTAGATGGATATGTTTTGCAGTAGTGGCGATCCCGTCAAGACGCAGCCGACTCTGCCAAGTCACCGTGTGCCTCTTAATGCTCAAAGTAGCATATCTTAGTCCGCTGAAGTAGACAGGTATAGATAATGGTCGTGGATGTCTCGATGAAGCGGCCCCAGAGAGCGCCGCTATGGCGGGGCCGTTGAAGCCAAGCCCCCGGAAGTGGGACCGTTTCCCCGGATCGCCAAGACGTCAGCCGCCGCAACGCCCTACCCGTTCCCGCGGGTGGGTCGCCTGTTTGCCGGCATCGGCTCACCCGCACTAAGCCGACGCGTCTGGCAGTGACATTCCCAGGCTTATCTTATCAAGCCCATAGGCGCAAAGCTGCTTTAGAACTTGGAATAGCAGCTGGGGGTTGGTGACATGAACGGCGAGGAAATGGGCACGAACCACACTCTAACTGACGGATGTGGATAGACACCACACGTACATACGGGTGTAAGCTAGTCCGACGTGATTAAAAGTCACTGTGAACATTGATTCAAGTACGTTGTGGTATTGTAGTATGGTATTACACTAGAGTAGGTAAAAGTACAAGGTCGTGGGGTATTATGGGGGTATCAAGTGTTCCAAATCGAAGCCTTCAATCTTCCTTCTCATACACTTCATTAACATGGGAAAATAGCATCCAAATATATCTCTCCCGCATCACAGCCCATCAAGGACAGTGCGTATTATACGAGAATGATGAGACGATATCCAATGCCTTGAGGGATTGCAACCTCGCGGCATACCCATACAAATTTGCCCAGCTGCTGCTTAGACGCGGGAGTTGTACCAGCGGCGGCGGTGGACAGCAGGGCGGTTGTCAGCAACAGCAGTGCGACGGCGGACCCAGAAGAGGCCGATGAGGGCGGACGCGAGCCAGACGATGGCGGAGAGGAAGGTGAAGGCGATGTTGGCCTTGTGGCGTCCGCAGTCGTCGCCGCGGGGGCTGACGTTGCTCCAGTCGAAGACGGGGCCGCAGCCATCACCAATGAGCTGAAAGGCTTCTGTCAGTATTTGCATGTGGTAGTTCGTGTATGGGGGATGACTTACGTTGACGAGCAGACCAAAGGAGACAAACCAGAGGATGCTGATGAAGATGTCCATGGGCCAGTGGACAAAGCTGCCCGAGAAGGGCAGCAGCCAGACGAGCGCGAGCACCATCGAGATGCTGGACACCACGATGGTGTAGATGAAGCGGCCGTTGTCCCACGAGGAGGCGTTGTCGTGGGCGTGGAGGTACGCGCCGGTGATACCGGTCACGATGGCGGCGAAGGCCAGCTCCGCGGCGCGAAAGATCATTTGCACAATGCGGTCGATCGCCATTTTGGTGGTTCGTTTCTTTCTTGCTTAAGAAAAGAGGTAAAGTTGGTTGGTCGGGATGTTGTGGCCGTTGCACAGGG